CCATCCTCCATACCATGGTGGCTCTGCTAAGATACCCTATGTAAGGAAGCACACTGTTGAATTCCTATGTATCCTTCAGGACTTAAAGAAGCATCAATTGTTTCTGAAGGCTTTCCTGATCACACAGAAATGACCACTCCCAAATATATATGTTTTCTTATGCCCTTTATGCTGCTTTGTTTGACTTTAGTTTATCAATTATGTGATTATCTCATTACATACTATGAAACCAAATTCCTGGAGGGCAGGGCTACCTTAATTATCCTTGTGGGGCCAGTTTGGGTACAGTGTGCAGTGTGGAATAAGTTTTCAATAGAATGCTTGGATTTCATGATAGAAAATGAAAGGTTTTCAGAGTGGTGCAATCACAGCAATGTTTAAGAATCCTCTGGATATATGTGAAGTGTGGACTAAAGCAGATACCTGATAAACTTTGGAAGGTATTGCAATAGACTAGATAAGAAGAATAAAAAAAATTGGAACTAAGGCTAACAAGTGGAAAGGATGGGAGAAATGTTGATTTCATCAAGGACAGGGTAATAGGAGAATAGTGGCATTGCATCGAAGGAGCATTTGACAGATATCAACTGAATTTATGCACAATGAAAGAGAGAGAGAGAGAGAGAGAGAGAGAGAGAGAGAGAGAGAGACCAAATTAGGTGATCCATGCCCCTTTTTTCAATGAACAGATGCAATGAAGTGAACTTGAAAATGACATGTGTGAATCTTCTGTTCTCTTGGGACTTCTGGTTTCTAAATAATTATGCCTCTTTCTGTAACTAGTGTAGTGCCCTGCGGCTCCTTTCTAAGTCAACTTTCATCTGGTGGTCAACCAAAGGACCAGTAGTTTGTTCCATTACAGAAAATAATGTCCCTTCTTGACAAGTTAAAAAATAATATTCTTTTATACTTAGGGGATTTTTAAGCATACATTTGACCATAGGCGGTATTTGCCTTATATTACAACTTAAAATCCGAATCATTCACAAGATGGGAATCGACTAATAAATCCATTAATTTTTTTTTTTTTTAAGACTGAGTATCTTAAGATGTAAATTCTGATCCAGAAATGATGCTGGCCAGTGCATTGCTCTTCCCCAGGTTTTGGACATGACAATGATGGAGGTAGACCTTGATTTCTAAGGTCTTAGATACATAAAGTATCGGTGTTAGGTAGACCTTAGACACCATCTGGCCCAACTCCTTGCATTTGACAGAGTAGGAAAGAGTCCCCTCCAGTAGTAGTTATGTGTCCATGGTCAGTTAGTACAGAATGTCTAGCAGGACCTAGTCCTTCCGTCCCCCAGTCCAGTGCCTGTGCTCTGCCCTTTGCCTGTAGCATCAGCCAGCTGCGATTCATAGGCCTCATCACTGCACTTCAGAAATCCACAGCAGCAGTCTCATTCCAAGGAAGCAGATAATTCTGTGCAGATGTGCACGTGCCTCAAAGACCAAGGACCGCGGGAAACCAGGCTGGGAGGGAATTTTCATAAATGTGAACATCCCATCCACAGCCCTGGACTGGGATCCTGTTCTTATTCAAGCTACTGTTGTGCAGTCAGCAATTCTGCCATGGCCCCTGGGATGGGCCTGGGTGGGAAGGGCAGATGGTGGGCTTGGATTGGGCTGGAAAGGATACCTATGAGCTGGAAGGTCCTTTAAAGTCCACTCCTCAGCTGCAGGGGAATTCAGTCAGGGAGTAAAAAGCCTTAAAACAGGGGATCTAATCCACCAAAGGAAAATCAGTCATATTTAAAATGCCTTTTAAAGGACAGTCGTGGTAGGATATATTTACATGTTCTACTCAAATAATGTGCCACTAAGACATCTTCAGCAGACTCTAAGCTTTAACCAGAGTGTTAATTGTGGGAAGCCATCCTGACACGTGACTGGGCGACTCCCGTTAAGGGTCTGAGGCTTCTGGCTGTGTCGGAATATTCCCGGCCCTTTCCTGATGAGAGAACCCGTCCGTGTGGGGGTGTGACTGACCACTGACCCCGGGGGCCCAATCACTGACCCTGACCTTGGAGTGCAGTCCCCCCTCAACCTTCATTGGATGGAATTATCCCCTGAATTTCTTGTTCCCCAATAAAAGGCTACTCCCTGGCGTGTTCACTCTCTCTCTCTCCTGCTAGCCCTGAGTAATCCTTGCTGCCCTGCTGGGCGGTTAGAGGTCGGAGCCAGAGAGGGGAGCCGTCTCGGACCTGGCAATAGAAATAAGGTAACTGTGTCTGTGTGTTTTATTTCGATCTCTTCTAACTAACTTTATGCCTAGAACCTCATTAATGAAACCATTGCGCAGGCCGCATGGTAGAGTTAATAGCCATGGTACTTTGAGAATTGGCTGCAGTAAACATGGTATTCCTGTTTTCTGGGATTATCCTATCTAGGATAATGAGGGCTTAGTGGGTTCATCTGAGAAATTCTGGCAAGAAGAATAAAAATTAGAATTCTGGAATTTAAGGTACCTTAGGGATCATCTAATACACCTCTCATTGACAGGTGATATAACAGAGTTTTGGAGAGTGGTGTTGACTTATCCTGAGTCACATGGCACACTTGCTCATGCTTTTTATTCAAATGGAAAGAGACCACCTTCTCTCTCATTCAAAGCCAGAAAAAGAGCTAGAGCCTGGGGATGGGAAGGAAATTTGAAAAAATGAACAGGTTTCACTATGTGTATAAGATTTCTGGATTAATCCAGAATTTAGAGGTGGAGTACTACAGTCTCTTCCATTCAATGAGAACTTGACAAGAGCAAAAAAAAACTAGAGCCATAGTTCTCAAGGTGCTGCAGAGTAGTGACCAAGGAGGAGGAGCAGGCAGAGTGGGCTTTGGGGTCACCTTCACCCTGGGCAACTCCACTTCTGTCTTTTTTCTATATTGGGCCTAATTGAAGGGTCATTGGAAGAACATGTTCACTAGGGAGAAAAAATTTTAAAACATCAACAACCTGGGAGTCGATGTGCCTTCAGAGGGCCTCTGCAGCCTGACATTCTGTGGGCTCTTGATTCTTGAGGGAAATTGTTCAGGAGTGTGTGAACAAGGATGCAGGGTCCTGTCTCCCTGTGAGCACCAGTTATCAACTGATGAGGATGCAGCTTCCTACAAAAGTGAGATCTCCTCATGTTCCCTGGCTGCCAGGGACATGGCTGTAGGGAGGCTAGTTCCATGCAGGGAGGGCATTCCAGTAGAGTCACTATACAAGCCCCCTTCCCAATTTCTCCAAAGGAATTAGACAAATGCATCTGATTCAGAGATGCAAGATCTGTAGGGCACTTCAGGTAGCAGATTAGTCCATGAGTTGGCTCAAATAGATTGCTTCTTTGCAATGCCAAGAGATCATGTTTTCTAGGCTCTTCTCTCTTTATAAGGGACCAGATCTTCTGCATCCTGGTAAGGTGATAGTTCCTTGCACAAGGCACCCAAAAAACTGCAGCATCCCACCTGGCAGTGTTCTAGGACACTGACAATGTCTGGAGACAGTTTGGGTTGTCATAACTGCAGAATTCTCTGGCTCAAAATGTCAATAGTGCTGAGATCAAGAAACCCCGACGTGCAGCATCAAGGGCTATTTCCCGTGAACTCAGAATATTTAGTTACAGCACCCCACGTATAAAATGAATTGAAGAAGGGTGGGGCCACAATGCCTCTTAGTAGGTCTTCCCCATCCTGTGCCCTTGGAAATACCTGTAGTTTCCTGAGGCTCGGTGGAGCATGGCTTGTGGGCTCTTTGGTGTGGCCAAAAGAGCATAAGATTCAAGGCCATAGAAGGGGATTGGGACCTGTATCTGCCATTCACCAGCTGTGCAATGTTATGTGAGTAACTAAAACTTCCTGAGTTTGTTTCTTTGTTGTGAAATGGGAGAGTAGTTACTATCTCATAGGTTTGTTAAAAGGTTTAAATGAGATAAGTTCAAAAGCACCTTACAAACTCACTACTTTGTTGTGGATAAAACATTTTAGCTAATACAAGGCTCCCCTTTGCTGAATGACTGTGGGAAAATAAGACTACAAGAATACTAAAAACACATACCATCCACTCTGAAGTTATTTGATGAGAACCTCTCCCAGAAAGCCAGAGAGAGCTTAGAAAATAGGTTCCTAGGTCTACGTACCTTTTAAAAGTAGGTACAACTTTAATAAACTTGATCTCTCAGAATACTCTGATCCTTCTCTGCCCCACTTTAAAGTGAGAACATCTCACTCATGGCAATTTTTTATGAGTACTCTCTAGATTCTAGGAAATATTGTTGGATGTTATATCCTCTTCAGCTCTCCCCTAAGACATTTTTAAAATACCCTTCTGATAGCGACTTCCCTTGCTACCCATGCCCTTTGCTGGTGAATTGCCAACTCCTTAGCCTGGCATTCAAGGCCCTTCAGAATTGCACCCTGACCCTTCCTTCCAGCACTGCCTCCTCCTGCAGGCTCCAGCATACCCTGCACTTTTCAATCACTTGATAATTATTTGGGGGAATTGGACAATGCTTTCTAATACTTCATCTTCGGGTACAATTATGGCTATGTGTCTGTCTGACTGCTGCTTCCTCGGGGGTCTCTGTTCCTCTTGCCTTGAACCTTGGAGTGGGAACTAGTGAAGACATTTCAGATGGAGAACAGAATTGTGTGTAAGTGTGCGAGAGTGTGTGTGTGTGTGTGTGTGTGTAGGGGATCAAAACTAGGGCCTTGGGTTTGCTAGACAAGCGCTCTACCACTGAACTTCACTCTCAACCCTGAGAATAGAAAGAAAACAAAAATGTTGTGTTTGGCTGGCTCACACATCACTAGCCCAAGTTTTCCTTATGGTCTTTTCTAGTTCTACCTACTCAGCTTGAACTTGTCACCCCCTACCACCTTCATTCATCACATTGTGACCCTGTGTGGCTCCCTCACTAGATGCAGCCCTGTGAAGGAAGAGACAGTGTCTAACCCACCTAGACTTCTTTAACTCCTAGAGGAGAGCCTGGCCTCATGAGAGAACACATTGGTGGTCTCACCTTCACGTAGTCATATTCACAAAGGTAGGAAGATTCCAAGTTGAAGTGCATGAAGTAAAGCTTGATCCGAAACCCCTCTGGGACAGTGATATTCCAAGTCACCTCTGAGTCACTGGGATAGGAGTCCGGATAGCCAGGTGACTGGATCTGGCCAAACATGTCATTCAGCTCCACGGTGTGGGACGAAGCCTTCAACAGGGAGAAGCACAGAGCATGACAGAGAAGGAGCCACCTGAAAGACACGAATGTGGTTCCACTTACATTCCTGGACGCAGGGCCCCAGCATTAAACTGAGTCAGCGGCCTGGAGACCAACTCCTCAGCATATCCCTACTGTAGATACCCCCATCTGGGCCTTGCTTACCTCGTCTGTAATATGGGAGGAAGGAACTAGGTGATTTCTGAAGCTGCTTCTAGTTTTGCTCCTTTAAAAGTTCAATAAGAGTATTAAACTTTTCCAGAAAGTACCATATTATTTTACTATTGAAAAGGTAACTTAATAATTACATAAAAGTTGGTCTCATTTCTTCAGTTTGGCTTCCTTTAGGAATCATAAACTCTTTATGCATTTTTCTAAAATGTAAGTAATAATAGCATGGTAATATTGGGATGAGATTTACACCCTGTGGTGGAATCTGGAGACTTTAAACCAATTTAATATTTTGAAAGAAGTGTTGCATTACCAAATCAGTCATGGCATGCAAAATCTTGAATAAAATTGGAATGAGCAAAGGAGTTTCCTTGGTAAGGTTCTAATACAAGGGTTAAAAGCCTCTAATTCATTTCTGTAAGAATCCAGGATAACTGTTGCAAAAAGCGGGAAGGGAAATTCAGTAAAACTCTCAGAAATGCCAAGCGCGGATGGCTCAATAAAGAGGCAGAGTAACCAAGGCTGGTCGAAGCCTAAATGGTCAGCACTTGCACCTCAGCAGCTGACAAATGGTGCTTCCCACCAACACCCAGGGACTTTGAACTCAAACATCCAAACATGGCTGGACAGCATGTCTTCTCACAGATTCCTGCTCTCGTTTCTGATTTCTTTTAGTGGTGATCTCATCCACCAGCTCCCTCAGCCTGAAAGGCTGCCATTCCTCCTGCCTTTTACACCACATATAATCATCACCAAATCTTTTTGACTCCTCTGCCTGTTTTGGAGACCCATCTCTCTTCCTCTCTAGTCAATTCCTTAATTTAAACCCTCTTATCTGGACTATTTCTATAGCATCCTAACTGGTCTTTTGGCCCCCTTATACCATTCAGCAATCTTCTGCTAAAGCTGGTTTCCTATGACATAGATGCCACCATCGTGCTGCACTATGTCTGCAGGTACAACCCCTGCCTCGGAATGGCTGAAAAGTCCCTTTTGGGTCTGGTGATGATTTGCCTGTCCAGCCCTCTCTCAGTGCCAGTCAGGCCATCCCCTTCCATACCTCAGCCCCATGGCACATGCCCTGCTCATTGCTCATCTGCTGATGTCCCATTTTTTCTTCCTGGGCTGTGAATTATCTCTTCATCGCTCCAGATTCCACAGCCCCCTATTGGAGTGACTGCCACACTGCAGTGCTTCAGGCCCAGCCTTTGAAGTTGAGTGTACTTGGGTTCAGTTCCCAATTCTCCCACTTACGGCTGTGAAAACACAGGCAACTAGTTTCTCTGAGTTCTAGTTTCCACATATGTAAATGAGGATCATCGTCCCTACTTGACAGGATTCGTATGAACATTAGCAATAACATATGTCAAGGATCCAGTGTAGAGTCTGCTATATTGTAGATTATAAATGAAAGAAGGAAGGGAGGAAAGAGAGTCTGAGACTGACAGACCAGTCTAAGAATTACAAAAGTCAACGTTGGGAAACTGTGACAGCATTTTTGGATTAGTAGTTTTATCTTTGCTAATCAGGAAGTTGCTTCCTGGCCAGGACTCCCAGTCATGCATTCAGATGTATATTTCTATATATGCATACAGATGAATTTTTGAGTGTATACACACAGCAAGAGAAGTACATTCATAGATTATCTGGCTATTTCATGTATTATTTACATAAAAGATAAATAGATAAATATAAAAAGGTCTGCAAGGATAGACACCAAGGTATTATTAGCGGTTATCGGTGGAATAGAAATAGGAGTGTTTTTAGTTTTGTTTATGCAGAATATTCACATTGGTCTAGAAGGACCATGTGCTATTTTTTCAATAAAAAGAAAATAAAGTAGTATATTTTTTTCCAAGGCTCTTACAATAGCAGCATGTGGGATGCTATTAAGAAAACAAAATATTTTAATCCAATTGCCACTGTCAATATTTTTTTTTACACCAATCTGTGAAGGAAGGACCTCAGAGGCAGTGATCAGGGAAGGCACAGGTCCAAGTTCTACAGTGAATTAGGAAGGCCCATTCCAGAAACTCCAACTTGCAGGGCCTAGGACTCGAGATTTCAAGTGAGGAAACGTACTGTCATTAACAGGGTTGGGAGTTTATGCTCATCCATCCCAAGGAGGGGAGAGTAGATCAACTTGAGGCCCTGCTTTTATTTATCCTACCCATTTTAAGGAAATGGTGGAGCGTCTGAATTTGTTTTCTTGTCTATTATCTGGTGATAATAATGGTTTCCCACAGGCCTGCTGTCCTCAGGAGCTTTGGAACATACTTGGTTAAGTGTCCAGCCCTAGGCAAACATTATTGCTGATTACTCCATCATGTTGCTTCCCAAAAAGCAGGTGTTAGGCATAAGCTTTGGCTCCCAAACTGGACTTCCCTGCAATAGCGACAACTGATTACGTAAGGCTGAAAGGTCAACTTTCTCTATGTCTGCTTTTTCCAGACCACATAGAGGAGTGTCTCAGATTCCTCAGGCCGAAATATGTCAAGGGCTGGTGGATGACTGGTCCGTCTATCCTAGAAGCCCTGTGCCATGTATGGTGGGCAATTGGTCAGTGTGGGAGGAAGGCCTGTTGGCATCTAACACAGTTTCAAACATACAAAGCAAATATCTCCTTTCACATAATGGGCCTGAGCATATGCTTGCTTGCTTGCTTGCTTTAGGGGCTATAAATCGAAGAATCTAAGTGGCAGATTTCATTCCCCATCACACCCTCTGAATGGTTTTGGCTTCTCATATACCAGGCACCAGCTGTACAATTCCTGACACCTGTTATCTATCCTGTGGCTCATCAAAGAGTTGAGCTACGTTTGCTTGAAATGTCAAAAGTAATATACAGAGCTGGGATTTCATGGGCTCCTCTGTGAGTGCAAGCTCTTGGGGATGTGTGAAGATGCCCCTTGGGGATATGACGGAGCAATAGGTGGCACTTTCTAGCCTTGCCACTCACTCTTCTCACTTCAACGTACACAACACCAGGCCTCCATTTTTAAGTTGAGGAGTTGGAAGGGACTGTTGAGCTCCTTATGCTCCACCCTCATTTGACAGGTGATGAAAAGAATACCCCAAGAGATGTCACATCATACCCAAGACCATATGGTGAATTTGCTTCATCAAAGAAGGGAATAACAAAGGCTCACAGAAGAAGTTGGGTCCATGCCCATATCATGCCCAGGCAGCTGGCCAAAGCAATTAACCCTGTGAAAAATAATTTTAAAATCCATGGCTTTGGGGAAATTTAAAAACTACTAATGCCTGAGCCCTCCTCCCAGGAGCTTCTGGTTTAATTGGCCTGGGCTGGAGCCTGGGCATGAGCATTTAAAAGCACCACAGGTCATTCTAGTGTGCACAGGACTGAGAGTCTAGAGGAACATAGTAGGAAAAAAATGCTGTCCTCGGGGCCCAAAGAAGATCCAAGTTTGAGACTGGGCCTTTTCCAGATCATCAGTGTGGCTTTGAGAAACTTGCTCAACTGCTTTTATTCTCCCTTATCCATAAACCCTTTGTCATCCCCAATCTGTAGACTAGGTGACACAATGCACATGAAACTGCCTTGCAACCTCTGAAGTGCTTAGGAGCATGTGAGGCAAGACCCTTTACAGACTTTTCTAGTGAAACCCTTTTCTAGTTGCTGCTTTGCTATTCAGCAATTGAGTTCAATTCAACAAATATTTATTGAATGCCTAGCAGGAAACAGACATTATGTTAGGTGCTGGTCCTACAGAGATGAAAACACTGATCTCCCTGCTTGTCACAGAAGTCGGCATTTAAATAAGGAGGTACTCCAAAGACAATAGGAGACATCGCTCCAAAGCACAGAACAGAACAAAGGAGGAGATGCTTGCTCTGGGGGATGGAAATCGGAGAAAAGCAAGTGATATTTGAAAGGGATCAAACCCAACAGATCTTTTAGGTGGAAAATAAGGAGGAGGATTGCTCTAGGTTAAGGGACAAGCATATGCAAAGACACAGGATTATCACTGAGTCCTGTATTTTGGTGTAGCTGAGGCATTAGTGGTAGGTAGGGTGGGTTCATTTCCTTGGCAGGTGAATCAGATATGGTTCAAAGTAGATGGGCATAAATACAATTTTGTTTTTAGGGGAAAGAATGGAAAATGAAGTTTGATGGCAAGTTCAAAATTACAATGGATTTAAAAAGAATGAAATGATTGAATTAACATTAAGGACTCGAGTATCTCTCTGCACTACAAGTAATTGGAATTCAGAGTTATGCAGCCGAAGCCGTTCATTGGCCTGGACTCAGCAAAGTTGCTGGGTGACTTTGCAGAAGAGAAACAGACAGAAACATCCCCCCGATTTAGAGAAAAATCAAAGGGAAAAGAGCTACATAGGGACTTATAGAGAGAGAGGTTTTTTTTTTTTTTATATTTTTCACTTTTTTGTATATTTCTAGCAGCAATAACATTTATAAATAGCAAAACTAATTAGAGTGGTTGAGTTTCCAGACCTGCAGAAAAAAACTTGTAAGGAATGTCTGATAAGGAACATTAAGTAAGATGAGGAATAAGAAAGGTTGAAGAGCTTCAAATCAATTGGAATTTAAAGTTTAAAGTCCTGGGCTTTGGAACTCCAAATGATCCTTAAAGAAATTGTGGTATCCCTTTAAGAGCCATTTGGTGCAATTCATAGCCTGATTCATGTCACCAGCTGCCTCTGATTTCAGTGAGAAATGCAGAAATTTATAGGGAACTGTAAAATGGGGACAGGTTTTGAGTTTTCTAAATTGGGGTTTCACAGGAAAACTTCTGAAACCACAGAGCTGGGCTGTGGGAAGCCGGTTTCTTTTCCGGTCAGAACAAATAAACACACAAATACATATCTAACTCTCAAAGTGTTGGGAGAGAGGACTCAACGGTCTTTGCAGAAGAGGAAAAGGAAAAATCAGCCTTGTGGGCAACGGGAGGAGGTCACATTGACCAGTAGGCAGCACCCTGCGCTGGCAGAGGGAGAAATTCGAGCTTCAGCTGCGCCCGCCAGAGCAGGCTTTGCACAAACTCCAGCTTCCTAGGGGCATGTCTCTCGTGCATCCAGCCTCCCCTTCAGTGGAAGAGAACCTCCACCCCGGGCCACCCATAGGACATGCAGGTGAGCCTGCCCAGAGAGAGGACGGACCCTCTGGGCCACTTGACACTTGGTTCCCCAAAGGGCACAGAGCCCTCTCCTGCCCTGGTACTCACCTCATTCTCCTGCCTTGCACGCTCCTGACTGCCTGGCCTGGGTCCCCTCTGCCGGACTAGTCTGTGAGATCGTCCCCGGTGTGGTGTCAGCGATGTCTTATCTTTGTTCTGAGGTCCCTGTGTGTCTCTGGAATTGGCTGGCATTCTCCATTCAGGTCACGCCTTCCCCTGCCTGCAACGGATCCCCTCTCCCCCTCTCTCCCTCTGGCTTTTCCTCTCTCCTCTCTCTCTCTTTGCTCTCACTGCTCTTCTACACACTCGGAATCTGTCTTCTTCCTTAAGAGATCTGCTCTGCCAGTCCCCTCCTTTATCCTGTGTGGCGGACTCCAGCATTGGAGAGAAAACAACTCAGAGCTCAGATAGGTATTCCCGCCCCCCCACCCCGTGTGTGTGTGTGTGTGTGTGTGTGTGTGTGTGTGTGTGTAGGAAGAGGGCGGGAGAGGGACAAAGTCTAATTTCTTTTCAGCTTCCCATGCCTGATGTCTAAATTTTTTTTTGCTCTTCTTCAGGACATCAGCAAAAGAACATGAATTACACAGAAAGAGCCAACTAAGAAGGCAACGCTAGCATCGACCCTAGGAAGAAAACATGTTGCAAATGCCAAAGCCTCGGACTATCTGCAAACGACTACAGGTTTTCCTGTGAGCCGAACCCCTAGCAGACAGCATGTGGGAGCACCAAGTTCTGCAGTTAGTTACTTGTCTCTCCCCACTTAAAAGCAACTCGGTGCCATTTACCAACTCAGAGTATGCAGAGGTCCAGTCCAGCCTAGGAAGGACCCCTCAGTGCCAGGAGGCCAGGAGCCCCAGAGGTATAGCAAGACCTGGGCCCATGTATGTGTCTGTGTCGATGGTTTGTGGAGAAATGTAACACTGGATCAGAGCTGAGCTGAATAATAAGAAACACCTTCTCTATAGTATTGGTCCCCCCACACTGATAAGTCCATCTATAAGAACTTCCTCCACAATATATCAACCAACATTGAGGACGGAGAGGCAGGTTTGGGTGTGAAACACAGGTTTTATTGAGCATCCTTTCTGTGTTAGAGCATCTTCTCTGTGTTCCTTAAATTACTTTTCACAAACTTGTGAGGGTCCTACTATTACATATTTCTTTCTTTTTCCTTTCTTTCTTTTCTTTTTTTGTTTTAACAAATGAGGAAACAGGCTCAGAGATTATCTAATTTGCCAAGTTTACCTAGCAATATATTTATTACTCCCCACCACTACTACAACAGATTGTCTTCAGTTATTTTTATATTTTAAAAAAGGTGGATAGTAATATTATTCCCATTTTCCATATGAGATAACTGCCCAGAGAGGCTAAGTAACTTGCCCAGAGTCACACAGATAGTGTTTGAGGAAGAATTTGAGCTCTTGTGCATTGTATATCATTGCTTCTTACTAATATATTATAATGCATGAGGAATTTCAAACACACAGCACACATACACACAGCATTCACCGAGAACCCCAATTTGATTCATTTTGAGGAGAGCATTAGACTCAGAGACAGAACTTAGCTATAATCTTTTCTTTTCACCCAAGCTGATTACATACTTTGGTCATAATAATTTAATATCTCTGATCTTATTTTTGCATTTGCAAAATGGAGGTTGCCATGAGGCTTGAGATTATGCCAGTGAAAGGGCTATCTTAGTTGTCCAGAGGGCTACCTGCTACTCAAACCCAGGAGGCAAATGCGTGCACTCTCTCTCTAAGACACCATTCCTCTGGCACATTTTGGGGACGGATGACTTGAGCTCTCACTGTAAGTCATGTCCCATTTTCGCTCCAATCTCATTCCACTCGGGAATGTCGGTCTTGCCAAGCCTGGCGTTATCAGGAGACTGTGGTCAAGAACACAGGTACAAGTATATCAGATGAGAACATATGTTTGAACTCAGGCACAGTTTTCACAAAATGTTGCTTTCTGTTGCAGGCAGGGTAAGAGAAATCGCCTTTAAAATTCCCATTAAAAACGACTCTCAGGCTCCTCAGACATCAAATAACTCTCACAAGACAACATTTTAATGATTTAAGTGTAAATGAATCAGAAACACATGGACTGCATTTCTTTTGGAATACACAAAGGTTTTAAAACCAAAGGAGAAAGAACTTGGCAAAATGCACACAGTGCTGCGCAGAGGGCCCTGCCCAGGAAAGACTCCCTGGATTCATGCTGCCTCTGAGCTCGCCCTCCCCGATTTTAGGGGACACACTGGGAAATGCAATCATCTGTTCTGGTTCTGGGCACAGAGGGAAGAGCTTGGAAGAGAAAGTCACCGTTCCCTCTTGTTCTCAAGTGTCATAGAACAATTAGGCCTCCCAGAATAATTTCCTGGCAGTGTTTTTCCAAGGCTGCCAGTGTTCAATGGCAGGCATTTGAAATATGTTTGAAGCCAAAGTTCTGCCAATATACAGCAGATCTGATATGTGTGCTTCCCTGGGATTTAGCCAAGACTCAGAGGAAATCTGCATGAGAACTGTAACTGGCTCAGTGAGGGATCTCGGGGAGAGTCAGACGGCATTTGCGACAGTGTCCTGTGATTTTGATGTGAACTCCTGGATGTCATTATCAGATTGTGGGTGGGGCAGGGGAGGTATGTAAGGGACCGGGACTAGGAGAAGTGGACTCAGTGTCTGTGAGCTGTGTGTGACCTTAGGAGAGTCATTTTCTTTCTTGGGGGAGGACATCAGTTTGCTCAGCCATCAAATCCGTGCATTGGACTCGGCTGAACTTACGGAGCACACTAATGTGAACTTGAAGGTCGTGCAATGATAGTGTGAAGGAGGCTCAGTGGATCGTGAGACCACTGAAGAGTCAAGGTATCTTGAGTACCTTGTATCTTGAGTACTCAAGGTATCTAGAGTAGTCTTCGTCATCTTGGCACTTGCTTTTTCTGTGGTCACCATTCTTTACTCAGAATTCCTTCATAGATATTCGGGGGAGGGGGGAGAAATAGCCCTTAAAGGGTTTCAATGAGTTTTTTTTTTTTTTAAGTTTGACAAAAATGGTTTAAAAATGAATATGAGGAACTAATAGTTTATTTAGAATCATACAAGTGTATGGTGTTGGAGGTGGCCTGGCTGCTCTTGGGTTACGGTCAGAGGGGGGTTTCAGAGAGCTTACCTCTGTGGAATACTGCTGCAGCATTCCCACCACTGGAGGATTTTGGTTTACATGTTCTACCAAAGTATTTATTTTGTGTAACTCCTGAGTGCAAGTTTCTGGAATTCCATGAATGTGTCCGACAATGCAAAGAATTTGGGTGATAGGTTTTTTGGCAAAGCCCGAGATCCAGGGCTCCCTATAGAACAAGCTAAGTAACTGATAAATATATCCAAAGACCGTAGCTAGAGTTAAACTTTGGGTGGTTCAACATATTGACTAACTGTGTTGAAAGTAATTTAAAAAATGCCAATCCTGGAGCTACGTCCCAGGAGATTTAAATTCAATGAATCTTTGTAGGGCATCTGAATCTGCAATTTTAGAATCTCCCCTGGTGTGATTTTGCCATTTTTGGTAATGTAACATAATGGTACATCTTATAATTGATGGTGTCTTAGATTTGATGAGATAATACCTAGTAATACCACACTCTTTCATGTATGTTTTTGCATGTAATAGTCACATCTTTTTACAGATGAAGACCACATTGTTCAGAGAAAATGAGTGCGTCTGTAAAGGAATGATCATTGTCTAGAGTTCAGGCTCCTGATCCCAAATCCAAGGTTTTTCCCCCTCATCTGCAGACTTCTGATACTTCCTGTGGAATTTAAATATTCATGAGTCATGCTGTCATGGGATTACACAATTTTTCAGAGAAGGAAAAAAAAAATAGCTTACATTTAAAAGATGAACTCTTAGGCTCTGATAGGGGCTAATTAAGCCCCCCTTGAACTCATATGTTGACATCCCAACCCCAGTACCTTGGACCATGACTTTGGTGGCTTATAAAGAGGTGATTAATTACAATGGGGTCTATGGAGTAGGCTCCAGTCCAACATGACTAGTGTCTTCTGAAGGGATGAAGACACAGTTATGCAGGGGAAGACCACAGGAAGAAGACAGCATTCTTCACACCCAGGACAAAAGTCTCAGAAGAAACCAAACCTGCAGGACTTGATCCTGGACTTCAAGCCTCCAGAATTCTGCAAGAATATATTCATATATATTAATTAACTCGTGATTGCACTAATTAATATGATGAGTAATTAATAATTATTAGTACATCAACATACCATTCACACCTCATTAATTTTCTCACCTAAATCCATCCTGTACCCATTACGGTCCTGTCTACTCCCTGTGTCTCCCCTCCCTGGAAGTTCTCCAGGAATTAGGGTCACATGGAACAAGCAGACTCGACCACGGGCCAGGAGCCAGGAGCCACAAAAAGCAAACAATCAGCTGGGAGTTCCACCATTTTGGGGGACAGCTCTCAGATCTGGGAGGAGTTAGGACCCTGGCTTCCCTAACTCCCTACAGCTATTTCCTGAACATTACTTTCCCACCCTCCTTCCAAATTCTCCTGCTCTTTTTCCACTCTGGCTGTTCCACACCCTTCTCACCTCTGTCATTCCTTCACTCTTTCCAGAAGAACTTAGGTTTGTGGCACTGTTGTTCACTCTCCTTCCCAATTCCAACCAAAAAACCCTGGGGACACTAGACTCTCCAGTTCCATCTCCATCTTTGAAGAAATATTTGTTTCAGTTTTTCAAGAAATGAAAAATATGTCATTAAGCCTCAGTCTGAAAGGATCTACTAAGCCACAATTGGGACATGTAGTAGAAGAGTTATATCTAGGAGCATTTACTAATCTTTCAGTATATCAAGGAAAAAATATCTTAAAAATTACTGGAGAACAAAAGTTAAATTGTCTACAAAAGAATGAAGATCAGATTAACATCAGATTTCTAAATTGCCATCCAGAAATAAGGGGAAAATAGAGGATCGTTTAATGTGCAAAAGACATTTAAACTTATAATCGTACACAAGTCAAAAGATACTATGTACAGTTGAAGATGGAACAAGGATATATTCAGACTTTAAAATTTACCATTAAAGACCTTTTCAGAAAGAATTACTGAAAAATGTGTACCAAGAGGGACAAAAATTGTTAGAGATAGTGTTGACAATACTGTGGAGAAATGGTGTTATGGTTTAGAAGATATGAGGTATCCCCCAAAAGTCCGTGTGTGAGACATTGCAAGAAAGCTTAGAAGTAAAATGATTGGATTATGACAGCCTTAACCTAATCAGCACATCAGTCCCCTGATAGATATCAATTGGGTGGTAACTATAGAAAGGCAGGTTGTGGCTGGAGGAGGCAAGTTGTTGGAGCATGCCCGTGGAGGGGAGCAGT